CGCACCGCCCCCCCCGCCCCACCCGCCCTGCCCCCTCCCCGCAGCCTGGGGCTCTGCCCCGCCCAAGAGCAGGTCTCCATCCTCCAGCCTGGCCTCCCCAGGCCCCCTAGGGTCCCATGTCCAGGGACACCTGCTTGGCTCCCTGCTGTCCCCAACCCCTGCCACCCAGGCCGCCTGTCTGGACACCGTCACTGCATCTCAGTATGGTCTCCATCCTCTGTCCCTCTTTCCGTCCTTCAACTTCCTCTCCCATCCAGCTCCCCATGCCCTCTGCCTCCTTCCCCGGGGCTCCAGAAATACCTCCGCTCCCTGTGTCCACCTCGGGTCCACACCTTCCTCCGCTCCCCCCCTCCGCAGGCATCCTTTCCCCAGTGCTCCCGGTCTGAGCTGGACCCACTGCCCACGCCAGCTGCTGCGCGCCCACACCTCCTCCCAGGGGACTTTCTCCTTCACTTTCCCTGCCCCCTAGTCTATCTATGCAAATCCCGGGGAGGGGGACATTTGCCTGCCCCTTGCCCCCACTTCCTGTCCCGGTGGCTCCCGGCCTCACGGAGACACCGGCAGCCCGCAGAGCCACGGTGGTCACAGCTGTCGCCTCCCGCAGCCAGGTGGCTGAGGTCGGCCCTGACATGCCCCTGTGTCTCTCCCCCTCCAGGCTCGACGGGCCGCACCTCAGCTTTCTGGTGAGTCCAGGTCCCTGGGCGGTGAGGGGTGGGGGACCCACTGCCCTCTGTGAGCTCCCGCAGAGAGGGTCCTTGCTCCCCGGCTCCATTTCCCCTTCCTCCCCTTCCTGTCGCCCCCTGCACGTCACAGCTCGGGCTCAAGACCCCTGCCTATGAACTCCTGTCTGTCCCAGAACTCACATTATTCCCTTCTTTCCTGCCTATGCTCTTTGGGAGAGGGGAAGAGTGGGTTATTCTCAATTTTGATCCTGTGATATTCCAGACACACAGGAAACTACACACAGTCCCTGAGCCCACAGCACAGTGCAACAGAAAACCTTCCCCGTTGGCTGAGAGAAACCCCCTTCCGGCACCCCCGCCACCATCCCCTCTCAGCCTTTGGTTTTGTTGATTTTTCTTTTTTTCCCATTTCTTTCTTTTTCCAGTACTACTAAGTTCACACTGAGCTACTTTGTTTTTGTTTTTGAGACAGGGTCTTGCTAAATTGCCAAGCAGGACTCAAACTTTCCATCCTCCTGCCTCAGCCTCCTGAACATCTGGAATTACAGATGTGCACCACCACACCTGACTTGTTGGGGTTTTTGTTGTTTTGTTTTTTTACTTGAGGTACAACTCCCAAGCCAGGAGCTGTGATCCTTCTGTGTGCAGGTCCGTGAGTTTTCACACGGTACTTGGCTGTGCGACCACTGGTCAGATTCAGAACATTCCCACCACTCTAGAACATTCCTTCACTTCCTCCCCAGACAACCCCCTGCTTGGATATTTTGCACCATCAGTTTATTTTGCTGTTTGTTTGTGGTGCTGATGATTGAGCCCAGGCCCTCAGCACTGAGCTATATCTTCACCCCCTCCCTTTTCAGACAGAATCTCATTATTACCCAGGCTTGGCTCCAAATTGAGATCCTCCTGCCTCAGCCTCCCAGAGTGCTGTGATCATAGTTTTGCGCCAGCATGCCCAGCTTTTGCTTGTTTTTTTTTAACTTTAAATGAAGTGATTTATGCAGTGGGTCCCATCGGGACTCGGCTTTCTTTCCTCAACAGTGTGTGTCAAGGGTTGGCTCATTTTCCTTGCTGCATAGTACTCCACCCATGGATTGCAACAGTTTGCTTCTCTGGGCTCCTACTGTTGAACACCAGGGCTGCCTCCAGGTTAGGGCTATCAACAAGGCCACTGTGATGATTCTTGACAAAGGCTCCTGGGGACATCATGTTTTCAGCTTGCTTGAGTAAACAGGAAGAGGCCACTGGGCCCTAGGGATGGTATGGACCTACACTGGCTTTAGTCTCCACCAACTTTTGTGGCTAAAGCAGTACATGGTTCTTGGGAGGAACCAGACCGACAGGGAGGTGGATGCAGGAAGCACTGAGAGCCAGGCCTGTTGATACACACCTATATTCCCAGCACTCAGGAGGCTGAGGCAGGACAACTGCCGTGAATTCAAGGCAAGCCTAGGCTTTAAAAAAAAAAAAAAGAACCCTTGGGACCCCACTGATGGAAAGGATGACTCAGACCTCTTCCACATGCCACCCTGGCACTGAGGCCTGCCGACCACACAGCTCGGGCCCGAAAGCCCACCACAGCAGAAGCTGGCTGCTGGTGCACTCTTGGGCCTCTGTCTCTGCACCTCTCCTGCCTGTGTCCGTGTCTCTGTCTCTCTCTACCTGTGCTCTTGCCCAGAATGATCGTATCCCAACCCCAGCAGTACCCAGATGGCGTCTTCTACGACCTGGACAGCTGCAAGCACCCCGGCTACCCGGACTCAGAGGGGGCTCCGGGTGAGTGACCTGCCACCTGGGGCCCATTTCTCAGATGGGGAAGCCGAGGGCCCATGAGGAGTTCTCACCAGCACAGCAGGAGCCGGGTTGCCCAGGCCTCTTTCCTCTCCCACCCACCCATCCACCGGCTCCCATGCAAATCCTGGGGTGGGACATTTGCACAGCCACAATGGCCCCTCTGTGCGCCTCGGTGGGCGGGGCTTCTGACCTGTGTCCCTCCCCAGACTCCCTGTGGGGCTGGACCGAGGCCCCGCCTGTCCCCGCCACCCCCTACGAAGCCTTCGACCCGGCAGCGGCCTCCACCTTTGGCCACCCCCAGGGCCCCCAACTCTGCTACGGCCCTTCCGCCTATGGCCCTGCAGGGACCCTGGAGCCGGCCCCCAGCCTGGAAACGCCGGGGCCCGGCCTCCCCGCGTACCCTACGGAGGACTTCACCGGCCAGGTGAGGGCCAGGGGGACAGCTAAGTCCACCCCAGTGGACCTTGTGGCCAAACCCGTGGCCCCGGCCACTGCCCTTGATAGAACTTTCTTCCCTCACTGACCGAGCGCCCAGACCCGAGTCCGCAGCGGCTAAGATCGGCCGGCTCGGTGTGGACTGGGTACAAGGCGGAGCATGGGTGTCCCCAGCCGCGACAGGCGGACAGGACGGGGCCAGAGCAGGGGGAAACGCGAGCGAGCGGGAGGGCGGCAGACACCGAGGGGGGCGGAGGGACGCGGATGTGCGGTGACCCCGGCCTCCCGCAGACCCTAGGCCCCCTGGCGTTCGCCCCGTACCCCAGCCCATTTCTGTCGGAGGAGGAGGAGCTGCTGCTGAACAGCCCCGCCCTGGAGGTCTCGGACAGCGAGTCCGACGAGGCCCTCGGGGGCAGCCCCGAGGGGAGGGGCTCCGAGGCAGGTAGGTGGGGACGCAGGTGCCGCCCTGGGGACGGGCGGAGGGCTCCTTTGGCTGTGAGAGCCGTGTGGCCTTGGAGGAGCGCCCTGCCGCTCTGGGCCTTGCTTTGCAGTCTGCACACCGGCACTGCTGTCCCCATCCCGCCTCGTGCGG